GGGACGTCTGCCTGTAATAAAAGTTCATGTTTGGCGTAAAATCCATCATATTTGTGATGGAGATGATGCTGTCCTGGGCCACAGAGGAGACTGGGGGAAAAATATTTTCTGGTTTCTTGTTTTAAAGCTTAGAGATGAAACTTTGTTGTGAAAATTAAGCTATGATAATAATTCAGGATCCTAATCCGGGTTTAATCCAAAGTGAGGTGATGGCCTGCAACTAGGATTGTTTGCTTCTTCTTTGTTGGTTTCATGTCAAAAGTCTAGTTTTTGAGGACAGGAAGTGTGTGTGGCTTTTCAGATTAAAGCTCGGCGTCAGCAGCTGCAGCTCAGAGACGGTGTGATGGACAAACTCGACTCTTTCATCGCCTCCATCATCAGCTCGCTGCCTGCCGACCTGCAGATTGTGCTCGGCACAGGCGCGTCACCGTGATGACAACTAACCCCACAGCCAGGACGCACGCTTGTGTTCATCAGCATCTTCACACTCCGCAGAAAAACCAACATCAGCTCAAATCTTCAGTTTTTGGAATATTTAAATTTTATTTAAACTTTATTACCCATCTCCATCGAGCTGCTGCTCTGATGTTTTGGTTTCTCTGACGGTGGAATCAGGCTGTTCGTGTTTCACAGAAGTCGTATTTTTCTATCATCTCCACAAACGGAATGTAACACTAAGAATGAAGCTCCACTTTGTTTGTTTGTAAACCATTATTTTGAAATTAAAGTCTGAGCACTTCCTGTCCTCTGACTTTTATTCATGTTTGTTTTATTCTAATGTCCTCCAGGATTCAGACTGAACAGAAAGGCTTTAAGTTTCCTCTCATGTCATGGTGAAATGTAACTTCTTGTGGTCTGATGACATCATCATAAGCCTTTGATCTTCATGCTGCTGCTCTTTAATGCTTCAGTTTCAGACCTCGAGAAGGAAACCACTGATTCTTTGTTTCTCTTTCCTTATTTATTTTATATAAAAACAATTAAGGCTCCACATCTGAACATCTGAGTGAAGATCAGTGCAAACACATTTACGAACATTTCTGTCTTTGGTCTGTGCACCTGAAGGCAGTGTTTGTAGATGTGGACAGATGTTAGAGAAGCTCAGTGGTGAAGTATTTGATCAGTGTGACGTGTGTATGTCTGTCAGAAACGTGAAATAAAACAAAGCTTCAGGCTTCAAAAACACCTGTACCTGTAATCTGACATAGGTGTGTTCACTGTTCCTCACAAATCAACTTTTTCCATCGTGTACAGTTTGCACTCTACCTGTTAAGTGAATTTAGCTTCACCTTTTCAGACCAGAGCCAATCAGAGGCTGGTAAAAGCAGGAACTGCAGCTGTAGACAGGTGATCTCACCTGAAGAGGGTGGACCGGGCAAAGAAAATCGTATTTAGAGTTCTGTCATCATCGAGGCACTTCACTGACGCTCGGACACAGATTGAAGCAGGAAAAATATTTTAATCTGAATCAAAAATATACATCAGCTGATTGACCAGCGAAGGTCACATGTTAACGTGTTTGTAGTGTTTGAAGTCACATGATGCTCAGAGAGCAGCAAACCGTCAGAGAAACACTAGGAAGATGAAAAACACAGATGCCCTCAAGCGCAGCACAAAGCCATGCCTTCACTGGCTCAGATGTCCAGGTGTTCTTCCTGCAGGTGAGTGTTTTCTTCCTCAGGTGCTCTACCTGCGTCCCACCCACCAGGTGCTGCCCTGCAGCCTCGTGACATCCTGCTTCTCCTGCGGGCTGAAATGCAGGATGGTGAGGATGGCAGTGAGCGTCTGCTGGCGCCCGTTGGCGTCCTGCAACGTCAGAAACCGGTACACAATGTTCTTCAGGTACTCCATGTTGGCGCCCTCGCGGCTTTGGTCCCGGATCAGTTTTTCGAGGCGGTCCCGCAGGGCTGCCACCTCCTCATCGTGGCGCTCGGCGTTTGCAATGAGTCGTGCCTGCAGCTGGCGCGTGTCCTCCTCCAGCCGGTTCTTCTGCCGCCGCAGCACACCCACCTCCACCTCCTTACGTGCGAGCTGCTCAGCATACAGCAGCAGAGTTGACTCATTGGGTGTGGCCTGCCGCAGTGCCTGGCTGATTACGTCGGTCTCTGTGTCAGGGCCATTCTCTTTAGGGTCATCGCGTGTGTTATCAGCACGATTGGACCAGCTGAGTGTGGCGGCAGCGGCCCGCAGCCTCTCCAGCTCGCGGTCCTTCTCATCCAGCAACGCCATAGTGCGCTCACGCTGCTTGTGAAGCTCCGCCTCCAGTTGCAACAGTTCATCACGGTGGAGTGTCTCCAGACGCTCCGCCTCCTGCCGGTGTGCCTGCTGCAGCGACACCGCCTGCTGCTGGCGCTCATCAAGCTGCTGGCGGTGGCAGGCCTCGGCCTCGTCACTCTGCATGCGGAGGTTTATGTACTTCTCACGCAGCTCAGCGAGCTGGTCGCGCACTTCCTCCAGCTCCCGCGCCTGGCAGCCATCTTTGGCGTTCTTGTTCTTCAGAACCACTTGCGCTCGCACCTTGTAGCGCTCAAACTCATCCCTCAGCTGCCGCAGCTCCTGCTGATAGGCGAGAGCCGCCGCCGCCGCATCTGCACCCGGCTCCACCTCCAGGTCCTGGATGTTCTGGTCGGGGTTCCTCTGAGCCGCAAGGAGCAGCAGCTTCTTCACCTTCTGCAGCTTCTCCCGCAGCGCCCCCACGTCCAGTTGCTCGTCTGGCCCGAGGTCAGAGGTCGCCCTGCTCGAGGCGGCGATGGCGAGTGTTTTGTTCTCTGTGTCGAGCTGCAGCACACGATCGCGGAGTCTCTGCGCTGCCTGCTGGTCACGCTGCCTCGCCTTCTCACACGAGCCCAGCAGCTCCGACAGCTCCGATACACGCTGCTCCAGGACCGCCACCCGAGCCTCTGCCGACTGAGCACGCTCACGAGCGCGCTCTTCTGCATCGCACACCTGCAACACGAACACAGAGATGACCTCACTTCCTGTTCTAGTTTACCTGGTCTGTTAGAGCTTAAACTATTTAATGTGGTTAAACCAGGTTCACTGGGACCTGTTTGATTGGGACTTTGTTTGGACCTGGTTCTGGGCTCACCTTGCGGGTCTCGAGCTGGACCTGCTCCTGGACCTGGTTCTTCAGCTTGTTCAATTCTTGCTGCAGCTCGTCCACTCTGGGGTCGGGTATTTGTTGCTCCTCCTCGACGGCCTGCAGCCTCCGCCTCAGCTCGTCTCTCTCTTCCTTGACTTGGTTCAGGAGAGCCTCGGACTCCGTCCCCCGGTCCACGGCCTGTGATGTTACAAGCAGGGCGGTGCTGGCATCCTGGAGGTGGAGCTCAGCGTCCTGCCGGAGGTCTCGCTCGGCCTGCAGGAGCCTCTGTAGCTCGCGGAGCTGCTGAGCGTGGTCCCCCTGCTCCTGCTCGCGCTCGTGCTGCTGCGTAATGATGCGAGCGCGACTTTCAGCAAGCTGCTGCTGCAGGTTGTGCAGTTCCGCCTCGTGCTGTGTTGTCACGGAGACCAGACGTTCCTGCAGCTCTTCAACTTCCTGTTTCAGCTGCCGCTTGTCAGCCTGGAAGCTTGCTTCCATTCGCGACTTCTCCTGCGTCACCGTGGCCAGCGAGCTTGTGAGCGTGCTCAGTTGGCTCTTCAACTGGGCGACTCTGCGGTCTGCCTCCATGCTGGGAGGGGGTGTAGCCTGCTGCTGCTCTGTCCCCACACTGCCACTCTCAGAGCTGCCATCGGGTTCAGATCCCTGCAGAACAAACATGGAGTCAGAGAATAAGACATGACATCACCAGAGCATTATGGCGATGATGATGTCATCAAGTTCTAACTCTGTTCTGGTGATTTAAGTTCAGTTGTCAAAGTAACATACCACCAGCCTTCCTCCCAGTTCTGCCTGGTCCTCCTCGCTCTGCTCGCCTCTCGTAGTCTCGCTGGCCATGTCCAAAGACGCCGCCGTGTCCACGCTGTCCTCGCTGTGCAGCGAGCAGCCATCCTCAGTAAGCTCCGATGTGGTGATGGTCGAACCCTTCTGGGTCAGGTCCAGGTCCTGGGTCACGCTTAGAACCTTAAGGCTGGCCTCCAGAGCCTCTTTCTCCTTCAGGAGACTCTTGTAGGCCCGGACCACATCCTTAAAGCGGGTCTGGTACTGGATCAGCTGCTTCTTCTGGGACTCCACCGTGTCCAGCAGCTCCTTCCTGCTCGGACCGCCACCAAAGCTCATCCCGAACTTCTCCATGACCTCGTCCAGGTCTGACCAGGTCTGTCCAGGTGAGCCTCTGATCACAGACACCAGAACATGAACAGAACCTTAGCATTGACTTCCTGTTAGAGGGGAAACGGAGAACAGCTGTTCAGATCACTCATCGATCAGTTATCGATGGATGGTTTCTGTGAAGCTGAAACTTTGTGCTGGAACACAAAAGAAGAAGGAGGAGGAAAACAGTTTCTCACCTCTTTCTGTTTCTCAGTGTTTGTTTCTCCCTTTGACTGATTTTTCCGCCGCTTTGATCGTACCTCCTCACACTGCGCCGACAAACCGGTTCGATCCGGATCACAAACTCACAACCTGTCCGTCACAGTTGGTCAATAATCGACCTAATCGATGAGTAAAATCCGACTCAAAGCTTCATCTGTCAACAGCCGCCATGTTGGACCGAACCGGAAGGGACTGAGACGGAGGAGGCGGGAGTTTACTACTTTGTTCACGGACGTCAGGAAAATGCACAATAGGAAGATTTTTTATTTTTTTTTAGCTGATTTAAATGTAAAAACTCACTGATTTAAATTAAATAAACAGCCAAACACAGCCAATAAAGCATATATATATATATTTACCATTAATATGTTTTTACATTTCTAAAAGCAACACAGTATTTTGAATTGATTGTTTATTGGGAGGAAAACATTTTTTCTTATTTTGTACAAATTTTAGAAATGAACTATGATTAACAAAAACAAAATAAAAGATTAAAAAAAAATTTTATTAGAAATTAATTTTAACTTTGTTGGTTAATCATTGATTGAAAATATTTTCATGATTCTGTGTATTAAATTCTGCTCCTCCGTTCTTCAATAGAAAACGCTTTACTATTCTACACACATATATGTTTTTAGCACTGTCACGGAGGCAGTACGTGTGTATTTCACTTTGTTATGTTCTGTTGTATAATGATGTGAACATAGTGACATATATACATATAAATTAAACGTATTAATATAAATGGCTGTTCATGAGCCGAAAGTGTTCCGCGCAGCTCATGAACTTCACTTCATGCGCAGAGCTCGAATGTACGGTGTTTGAGCGAACAGTGAACGCCGCGGTGTTTGCTATGCTGTTAATAAAGTTTTTTTTTAAGCGCAGCAGTGACGTCATTTGTTCCGCGTTGGCCTGGACGTGGCACCGAGAGGAGCTGCGCCCTCAGTTCGCTCTGCTCCGCGCCTTCTCGGCTCCATTCCGCTGCTGATCCCGGACCTCCGGCTCTACCCGCCCTCAGTGTGTGACCTGCCACCGCCTCCTCTCCGCAGCCATGGGCCTCACAATCTCGTCGCTGTTCTCCAGACTGTTCGGGAAGAAACAGATGAGGATCCTGATGGGTAAGCGGGGGCTAGGCTAACGAGCTAACAGGCTAACCGGCTGGGCTCCGGGGCGGCTGCAAGCGGCTCCGCAGGCTCACCAGTACCACACACCGACTCATTTTACCAGGAACCCGCTCACCGAGTCCTGCGGACCGCGGGCCCGATCTTCCCG